TTTCATTTCGTTATCGAAACAATCGGTTCTCGAGCAATTAGCTTCTATTGCACCGTCGTCGAGTATTTTATATTATTTTTTTATTACTGTCGAAATAATATTCGATTCTTTGGTTTTATTGTACTCGCCGAGTATAATAATTATATATATATATATATATATATGTTACACGTGTCATCGTGCAACGATGAGTTTCGTAAAACTTTTGGCGATGCGTCAGCGAGTCGAAGATCAAAGAACGCTGTTGTCCTATGTAATTGAAAAACTTCGTGCAGATCGATCGTCATAGAGCACGATCGTGTTCCTCTTACGTCTGAAAGTTCGTTTCGGGAAGGTTTCAGATGCGAACGATGATACGCGAATCATTTATCGAGCATGTATTATTTTATTATACTGGATCGGAAGCTTTACTGGGGCCAAGAAATATGTTCGTAAGTTTCCGCGGAATCGTACGAAAGTTGTGAATGTAGTTAACGTTAAAGATTATAATAGTAAGTCGTATTTATAGAAATTCACAATATTCTCAAAATACAAAGTACAAAGCAACTCGACCGGATCTCAAACGTTTTCGAAGTAACAGCGTTTGCATTTTTAAGAAATGCGTAAATGACTTAAGATGCTAAGATTTGTATAATCGTTGCTGTTAAGCAATTGGCGATTTTGTGCCGTTGTTTCGTTTCTTGTCTCAGACTTTTCTGATGTATATGTATAATCCATAGTGAGAAAGTTTGTTAAGCGACCGACGCGCGCATAAGTAGACGTAAAAAAGCATTCATTATCCCGGCGGATCATATCGATAAGATATTGAACTTTGTTATTATTTCAAACAACGTTGTATGTTGATTGCGTGATAAAATATATTTCAAATACGAATGTGGATAGATACAACTATTTACACGTAACGCGGTGTATGTCCAGGTCTCGAGAGAAACATTCTAGTTTACTTTCTCTGTGCTATTCGCGCGTCAACTAATTTTTTGTGTGATTTATTTACATATATAATTGGGATGGATTGGAATATTCAATAGCGCGACGTATTCGAAACGAATTATATCACAATATGTAAAAACAAGTATCGTACAATACAAAGGTACAAGTTTCCTTCATGTGACACCGAATTTCTTAGTGAAAGATGCCTGTTGGCCTGGTTGCCAACGCGTGCTGTACTCGATTCTGTACAGTACGTCGAGAATGGGCTTAAAACGATCGTCGAGCTGGATCGTTTTACCTTCCTCTGCCACGTCCTCGACTGAAACCGCCTCTACCTCGACCGGCGACTTTCCCCTTTGGTGGTGGAGATTTTGGTCTGAGAGCTTCGATACGTTCGGTACAACCAGTGGTGATTTGACCGTTAGCGAAGTAACTGGTGTAGAGATCTGCGTTGAAATTCGTGTTGGTTAGCTCTGGGCCAACGGTAAGCCATCCTGGCCGAATGGTACTATCTCGACCGAACAAATGCAATCTGTGTAAAATGCGTAAGATATCGTTGATACTGATGTATATATGTATATAT